TTGCAGATATCAATAGTTGGGATTGTCTCATTCTCGTGCTGTTGTCTAACTTTGGATTTGCTTTTGTTTCTAAAATTTATTTGTTGCAGTCTTTTCAATTTTGAAGCGGGTTCCAAATTATCATAACTACCGGTATATTTTCCTCAGTGCTTTGCATGTGTCTGATTTCATGAAGGTCCATGTTAGATGAGCAAGACAAAAATTGTATTTCATAGTGAACGATATCTGTTTTAAGTTTCTTTGTAACGATGTGAGAAATAGCTCGTTCTAATGATGGTATACCACTTACTTTTATTTGTTGTATTGCAAGTTCACAAGTATCTTCATAGGTCAATAAGGAGAACATGTACTTTGCTCTGACTGTTTGTTGAAAAATACAACTAACACTAACTTGCAAGCCACTATAAAAAAAACCCGTATTTCCCCTGCAGTTGTTGAAATTAAGTTTTCCACCTTTCTTTTTTTTTTATAGTTTAAACCACTGGACAACATCCCATAGCTTTGAGCTTTAATTTTGGACTGATATCTCAACTCTACAGATATAACAGTCTGATTTTATCGAACTCTTCACTTTTTCATTGGCTTATGGTTTATGTAACATAAACATCTATACAGGCAATCACATGATGTTGAGTGCAATTTGGAGTAAACAAGCACGAGTGCGTTATTCAAAATAATTGTACATTAAAAGTTATGTGATAAATTATTTTCATGTACATGAACGTACATTCAAACCTTCCAAATTCGATATTACGTTACCCAAAGACTTCATTTCTCTCAGCCAACCAATAAATCAGACTGTTTTGATTTTTCTTCCCCCAAAGCGATGAAGCCGGTAAACACGGTAAAATGGCCGACCACCACTCCGTCAAATCAGTTGCTATCAAACGTGAACTCTGATAAAATTTAACTCAATTGTGTCAATCAAAAACGATCAATTTCTAAAAGTGTGCCGGCATTTTCACGTATTCCTTTTGGTCCTTTTGGTTTTCTCGCTCGCTTCATGCACCCCGGCTTCACTCAGTCAACTAGCATTCTAACATGGCAACGTCGCTCTCTTCTTTTCCATTTTCCTATTTTTTTAACTCGCATCCAGCGGGTGCTGTTTAGCTTTTCACTGCCCTGCTCGCGTTATCACGTGCGTCTCACATACAAAAATGTTTTCCGAGTGTTTTTTCAATGAAGGCGAGCACGGACGTGCGGGTCATGCGATAACCAATTATTAATTAATTGGTGAGTAATTAGAACTCAGAACGAGCTCGAGTGTTATGGAACTTTTAAAATTGTTGTATGAACAAACAAATAATGATGAAATGATAATGTGGATGTTGACTCAGTTTAGCTCTGATGTTTAATGCTCCATGAGGAAATGGCTCATACTACACTCAACGCCTGGCATGGCATTCCCTTTGGCTGTTCGATTTAGCGCGGTTCTACTGTAAAAGCGTGAGGCTCGTGCGGGTCTTATGATAAACAACTGTACGAGATTGGTTAGTCGGAACTGAAATAGATCACAGGACGAGCGCGAGCGTCTGAAAAACATGAATTTCTCGATCAAGTTCACGGCCTCATGCAAACGGTCAGCTAACTGTTGTAAAGAAATATAAGTGAAAAGCCAGCTAGCCCAGGGTAACTCCGGAGGAAGGTTGTCTCAGGCACCCAGACCATGTAAATAGGGCCTAATTAGTTTATTTAAACAAGGTTTAGCCGTTGTTGAATAAAACCGCGTCTTGCGATGTTTGAAACTGACCGCCAACAGAGATGCAAAGAGAAAAAACGAGCAACAACTTGATTGATTTCATCTCAAAAGCGTTGTCTGTTTGGGAAGACTCACTGTTTTTGAACATTGCCTGAAGCCAATTATAAACTTCCAGAGATATCACTTATTGTGGAAGCTATTCTCAACAGCAAACCGCCGAGGGAACAGCTCTCGGGAAAACAGAACTCACCGGATCAATGGGGATCGAAATCCGCCAGTCACATTGGAT